CCCCAAAACCCCAAAACCCCATGCTTTCAATTATAGAGTAATTTTTGAATGATTTCTAATTTGCTTTTTAATTCTAATAATATTGATTATTTCACGGTTTCTAACTTCTAATCAATTAATTATTAAAACCATAGACAATCAATATAAGTACTAATGGAAAGTATTAGAAACCAGAATACTAGGAAGAATTACTCACAAATAAAAGCCAATAAGAGATAAAGAGATTCAAACAGTAGAGAATAAGGCCAATCATTTTTGAAACCCAAAGTTAATACTAATTAGTGCGGGAAAGATGCTATTTAATAAGTCAATTCTATACTAATCAAATAATTTCAAAATGATGATACAGCTTCAACCATTAATGCATAAAAGAAAAAATAAAGTTAGGGTTTATAACAATTATAGGAAAAGGTATTGACAAATTACTAGTACAGAGAAAATGTGAAAAAGAATTTGAGCCAAAATATTGTAATAGATTATCAAATTGAGGAAACTTTGAAAATTGGAGAAATTCTCAGACTCTAAATGGTCCCCGACTATCTAAATCTTAAAAATGGCATAACCCAGAATTGCACTGAGGAAATTGGAGGATGTTAAAATAATACATAATACTCCAATCTTTTAAACGAATAAAATCTCTATCTGAAAATAATAGAATAATAAGCTGTTAACAGTCAAAATGATTAGTTAAGGTAAAATAGTATCATATAGCAAGAGGTTAAAGAGTAAAATTTAGACATATATGCAGACTAGTAAGGATTAAATGATAATAACTTTTATCACTATCACAGTCTTACTTTAAAGAACAGAGTTAAGATGGTTGATTGGATGCTACAAGTGATGAGAGTACTCAAAATAGAATCATAGAAAACTTTTATTTAAGCAATAAAAATGATGGATAAATATTATGAAGTAAAAATGAAGGAGGGAAAAGCTCAGCCAAATAATGAGTTTCATCTAATTGGCTTAGTATGCATCTATATAAGTTCTAAGTTTGAGGAAGTAGAACCCATAACACTGAAAGAAATTGTGAATGATGCTGCACACAAAAAGTTCACAAAAAAATAGATTATTGAAAAGGAATAATCAGTACTCTAGACATTACAATTCAAAATAAAAATGGATGATATTTTTGAAGAATCAAATAGCATTTTAGAATAATGCTTCCATTAATCTAATATTCTTTAAAAGAGCAATGAAGAATATACAAACTTAAAAGATGTGGTTTAATTCCTATGCTAATTAATACCGCATAACCTTGAACTTATTCAACTGGATGTATAAATTCTAAGAGTGATGGTCGTTTAGATTGCATTAAAACTTAGAAAATTCTCCTTGAACTAATACATTTACGAAAATCTTTATGGTGAAACTCTCATTGTTAGAGATAAATCAAAGTTATAGAATTTGAAAAAGATTGAAGATTTTTCCAAATTCTTTAAGTGCAATATATTAATGATGACTTAATACAATAAAGACAGCTTAAATAAAGTATATTTGAAAAAGCTTGCTGCTCTTTATTTAGATATAACCTATGGATAGCCATAGAGAAAAAATCTTAGAAAAAATTGGCCTTCCCTTTTTGATGAAAAAACCCAAGAATTCTTCAGACAAATCTAGGATAAGTACTCTGATTGATAATCCTTAAAGGCTAGAATAATTTCTTAAATGATATGTCCAATAGAAAAGTACTAAAAAGGATGAGACTGTGATTCATGATAATTTATATTGTCTAATCCTTTAATAATAAATCAAATAATTCTTAATTATTAATAAACTAAATTTTCATAATTAAATTTTGCATTTGGGGTTTTGGGGTTTTGGGGTTTTGGGG